GATCCAGTTGAGAGAAGAGCGGGATACTTACAAAGAAAAGTATCACGAGCAGGAGCGGAAGATTCTAAAGCTTACAAGACAACTGGAGAATGAGAAGGTTCTCAACGACTATGTAAGCACCAACGGAAAACGACCATGGGAGCGTTGATGTCTTTTGTTATTTTTAGTTTTGATTTACTTTTCAGTATTTCTTTTTTGTAATGCCTTAAAGGCATTTGTTAAACATTGTTTCAAGTTTTTAATCTAATAAAAGTGTGTTTTATTTTGGTTTACGAATTTGAATCCCTAAAAGTCTTTGAAATCATATCATGTGCATCCCATTTCCATGCACCTCATTACAGGTACCCTTACAGGTTTCTCATCTTCTTTGCTGTTTATTTCAGCGCTCATCATGTCTTCTGAAACATCAACTGATCAAGCTATCAAGGCTCTGCAAGCTCAAAACGCTCAGTTTCAGGAAATGTTCATGAATTTGGCCAAGGGTCAGCAAGATTTGAAGACTCTTATCTTGAAGGATAAGAAGAAGAAGAAGATGGTCCTCCTGAATATGGGTCGCAGATTTGGAAACAATTTGCGAGATGCTGATTTATCTCACTCATCTGGAGGGGGAGAAAACCAAGAAGAGGGTTCCTAGCCCTGTGGTATCTGACAACGAGACTGACTTTGACGAAGATCAATATCCTCCGGATGAGGATATATATAAACAGCTTGAAGACTGGTTAAGTGCGATGGAGATCCAGAAAGTACCTGGATTGGACTTTGGTGATTTGGGTTTGTCATCTGGGGTGGTGATTCCCCACAAGTTTAAAGCACCAATTTTTGCTAAATACGACGGGGTTTCTTGTCCAAAGTTGCACCTTCGCTCGTATGTTAGAAAGATCCAGCCATACACTGCTGATAAGAACCTATGGATCCACTTCTTTCAGGGACTTAACTTGAATGGTTTTACCAGCTGGAAGGAGCTAGTATCCGTAATCGGGAAGATCTTGCTGCTGCTTTTTACAAGCAGTACCAGTACAATGCCGACCTCGCTCCCACGCGTACCCAACTTCAGGGTATGTCTATGGGTGCGAGCGAAGGTTTCAAAGACTACGCTCAGAAATGGAGGGACCTTGCTGGAAGAGTACAACCCCCGCTGGCTGACATGGAGTTGGTGGATATGTTTCTGGGGACCTTGTCTGGTCCTTATTTCAACCATCTAATTGGAAGTTCATCGTCCGGGTTTACTGAGCTGATTATGATCGGGGAAAGAGTTGAGGCTGGTATCAAGAGCGGTAAGATACAGAAGGGTGCTTCATCAAGTACCGAGAAGAAGCCTTTTAAGAAGGAGTCCAGTGTAGTTTACAGTTCAAAAGGCCAGAATAGACCTGAGCACCGCCAAGCAGTTAATGCGGTTGTTATATCAAGACCAACTGTTGCCACACAACACAACAATCAGCCAAGAGCCGAGAGGCCGCGAAGACAATTCACTCAGCTCCATATGACTCTGTCTCAGATTCTGCTGCAGTTGTTAAAAACCAACTTGGTGATTCCGAAGGAAGCCCCGAAGAATCCCAATACAACATCACCGCTGTACAATCTGAACGCCCGCTGTGCTTTTCATTCTGATAGCCCGGGGCATGATACGAATGATTGTTGGGTCCTGAAGAATAAGGTACAGGATCTGATTGATGCTAAGGAGATTGAGTTCGAAGCACCCGAAAAGCCTAATGTTATGACTGCTCCGATGCCCAAGCATGGAGTGAATGTTGTAGATGAAGACTCGTTTGTGGTTTCTGTGAAAGACATTGTTACTCCATTGATGACTGTGAAGAAGAACCTTCTGTTAGCCGGTTTATTTCTGGGCTGCGGCGAAGGTTACCGTCTGTGTTCCGTCCTACCTACTGGTTGCCATCTTTTGAAGTCAGGTGTCCAATGCCTGATGGATAATAAAGAAATTCTGTTTGAGAAGACTGTTGTTCCTTTGGTTCTTGTTGAAGAAATCTCTATAATCACCATTTTCGACAATTCTTCTAAGGCTTCCTCGAGAAAGTCTGTTAGAATTACATTTGTTCCGAGAATCGCACCATTGATCATCACTGTTCCTGGACCTATCCTCTATACGTCAGATAAGGTTGTCCCATGGCACTACGGGGCTGATATATATTATCACGAGGTTAAACAAGACTTAAAGGATGAATAGGCTGATACCGACGTCATCAATATTGTTGGATCTAGTAAAGTCACCCGTAACGAAAGACTTTTCTCCCCTGAGATCTCTCCACCAACTGTTCGGAAGCCTGTTGTTATTACGTTGGCCAGTACATCTGCTACTGTCCCTGCTCAAGTTCCAATTCTTACCCCTGTCATCGAGTCAGTTGACACTCGGGGCAAAGGGACCACTGGTGAGCCTGCCCGGACGGAGGCACCGAGGAAGATTACTGTTGAGGCCTCTAGACAAGAGATAGAGGAAATTCTAAAGATCATCAAAAAAAGCTACTACAATATAGTCGAACAGCTGGGGCAAACCCCATCGAAGATCTCTATGTTGTCCTTATTGTTGTGTTCAGAGGCCCATGCTACTGAAGACTGCGCATGTGCAGCAGGAGACATCAGCTGATCAGTTTAAAGATTGCGTGGCTAGTCTTACAACAAATAATGGGTTGGGTTTCTCCGACGTAGACTTGACTGCTAAGGGGAAGAATCACAATGATGCCCTGCATGTCTCCATTGAGTGCATGGGCACTACTCTAGCTCATGTATTAATGGATACTGGGTCCTGTTGAACATTTTGCCTAAGAAAGCTTTAGACCGGTTGGACTGTGAAGGTTTGGTGCTGAAGCCAAGCAACATTGTGGTTAGGGCCTTTGACGGGTCCAAGAGAATGGTACATGGAGAAGTGGATATTCCAGTTAAGGTTGGTTCTCAGATTTTCGCGTCTACATTCTATGTGATGGATATTCGGCCATCTTATTCTTGTTTGCTAGGTCGCCCGTGGATCCACAAAGCTGGGGCAGTGACTTCTACGCTTCACCAGATGCTGAAATACCCAGTAAATGGGAAAATTGTTACGGTACGAGGAGAGGAGGAGTACATGGTGAGCCACCTCAACTCATTCCGGTATGTGGAGATGGATGGGGAGTTCATTGAGACCCCGTTTCAACATTTTGAAGAAGTCTCCCAGACGCTGGCATCAACTGAAACTGTTACTGAAGATCCTCCAATAAAGATGGCTTCCCTCAAGGATGCCCAGGCTGTTGTTGAGAAAGGTGGGTATGCGAATTGGGGCCAACTCCCTAACTTTGCACATAAGACTAACAAGTTTGGTTTGGGTTTCACTGTAGAAGCTCAAAGGGCTGTACGGCATGCATGAATCGAAGGACCTCCCCTGTTTATCAGCAATTCAGGAGTAAATGCCATTGAAGACGATGTTGAAGAATTCGAGTTTGACAGTTGGATCTACCCAACTACCGATGGTGGACTAAGCAATTGGACGACAAAGGACTTCGTCCCAATTTCTTTTATTACCCAGTAATGAGACTTTTGTTTTGAATTTGTAACAGACAATTTTTAAACTTTACGGCCCGGTGCCTTACCCGAGACATTGTGGCTTTGTTTGTGAGGGCTTTATGTGTGTCATTTCCATATATCAGTAATAAAAGCATTGAACATTTTCTTGCATTTCAAATTTTGCGCTCCTTGTTTTTCTTTTTATCTTGCAAAACAACTATTTTACACACACTCACATATACAGGTCTACATCCACTCTAAATCCCACTGATAACGACTCTGCTACTGCCGGTTATGACTTTGAAAGTCCTATCAACTTAGCCGAAGACGAAGGTGAAGATGATTGTGAAGTGTCTGGTGAACTTGCTAGACTGTTACTTCAGGAGGAGAGGGCTATACAACCGCATGAAGAGTCAGTGGAAACAGTGAATCTAGGTACAGAGGTAGACAAGAAAGAGGTCAAAATCGGTGCAAATCTAGAACCTAGCGTCAAACAGAATGTTGATAACAGACACAACTATAAAGACCCTTAATTTCTTGCGGAAAATAAAAATTCCTTCAAAGATCAAGATATTGTGTTGAAGGTTTTTATTAGATAAACTCTCTACAAGAGTTCAACTTATCAAAAGAGTTACCATTCCTGATGTGGAAAGAAATATTTGTACCTTTTACTCTTTGCAAGATGAAGATGTCTGACACTTGATGTTTCAATGTCCTTTCGCATCATTAGTTTGGACGTAGGTACACATATGACTAGGTTTTGCAGAGACAATAGAGAATGACCATACTAAGCATTTTTTAGAGTCCTATATGAAGCTTAGAGGGCTCATTGTTAAACAAAAGGAGAATGTAATTTGAATGACTATTGTATAAAACTTGTGAAAAAAACGAAATGATATACTATTCAACAATGAAAAGTGCACGGAGAATGAGGTAGTTTTCAAACATTAAAATGATATAAAATAATGTCTTAAATGTGATTTATAAATGAATTCAAAGGAAGAAGTAGTTGTAACTTTTACAAATAACCTAAAAGTCTAATTAATCTTCTTAAATAGTATTTTGTAATTGGACAAGAATACCCTTGTGATCTACTTTAATCAACTTTATATTTATTAAAAAATAAAATAAAACAAAAAATAAAAAAGCAAAAGAAGAAAAATGTGGAAAGAAAAACCCTACACCAACATTTGCATAAAAATAACGAAAATGAAAAATCCTATATAAACCAAAACTCGCCCCTCTCTTCTAACCCTAGCTTCACTTTCACAAACCCATTTAGTCCTCACTCTCATTTCATCGAATCTTTGCACAAAAAAACCCTTTCTTCCTCGCTGATTAATCGCCACAATCACCATTTTCATTTCTGCACTGTAAGTCACGCTTTAAATCGTTTTTCTTCGTAATTGTTTTGCTACTCAATTGGGTAAAAAATGGGTTTTGATTTTCTTTTTTTTTTGAAATTTAATTTAGGGTTTTCAGAAGCATCAGGATTCAACCGGTGAGGTACCATGTCGGATGATGAAAGGGAGGAGAAGGAGTTGGATCTCTCTTCGTCTGAAGTTGTCACCAAATACAAAACTGCAGCTGAGATCGCTAACAGTATGTTCTTCACTCTATCAATGTCTTTTTATTTCAAACTCTTATGTATATTTTTGTTAATTGTTATAGATTAAATGCATAAGTTTATTGAATTTAGCTAACATTTATATTTCTCTGTTAGTTTCTGGTTTCATTGTTTTTATGGGTTTATATGAATTTTAATGTTGAATGCATTTTAATGTTCAACTTATTTATTTTTGGTTTTGTTTTGCAGAGGCTTTGAAGTTAGTTATTTCAGAATGTAAACCCAAGGCTAAGATTGTCGACATTTGTGAGAAAGGAGATTCATTTATCAGAGAGTAAGTTTATATTATTACTAACTAGTCTCCTTTTCGATGAGCATTGTTTGTATGCTATTATATTGTATTGTCTATTATTGTGTTTGTAATTGCTGTGTTAAGATTTTACTATTACTTGAATCATTTTTTTTTTTTTTTTGGTGCTAATGGTGTTTTCCTTTACTGGTGTGAAGGCAAACTAGTAATGTGTACAAGAATGTGAAGAAGAAGATAGAAAGAGGCGTTGCTTTTCCAACTTGCATATCTGTTAACAACACAATCTGTCATTTCTCTCCGCTAGCAAGTGATGAGACAGTGTTGGAAGAAGGTGATATACTGAAAATGTAAGATTTTTAAGAATTTAGTTGGGGTTTAATGACGGGAGTATTGACCTAGTTGTTTTGGCTATTTTTTGAAAGTTGATAATGATGTATTTTTTCTATGGTTGCAGTGATCTGGCTTGTCATGTAGATGGGTTCATTGCTGCGGTGGCTCACACTCATGTTCTTCAAGAAGGTCCAGTTACTGTGCGGGCAGCTGATGTCCTTGCTGCTGCAAACACTGCTGCTGAGGTGGCCTTAAGGCTTGTTAGGCCAGGAAAGAAGGTAATCAATTGTAAGATTCCCCCCTCTTTAGATTCAAAATTTGTTTTTATGATGAATTGAATTTGATTCTATTGCATTTATCTTTTCTTGTTCCATAGGTATGTAGCTTTGAAACATAGACAAATTTGGCAGTGTAAAATGAAAGAAAAATTAGATTAGCTTGTTTTCTTGTACCTGAGGGGGTCCTTTGTCTTGCGAATATTGATTTCTAAATGATGAAAACTATCATGAGCTAGGATAAACTCCAATGAAGCTTTATTGTCATAGTTACACTGATAGAGGTCAATAATGATTTTTCTTATGCTGTTCTGCTAACCAAACAGTGACACAAGTCATCTTTGTGTCGACGACTAGTCTCTTGGCTGAAATGTCTAGTTTATCTATTGTTTGTACTTTTGAGATTACGTGGTTGTCACTTGATTCCTTTTGTACATTAAACTCTACCAATGTTATTTCTATTTCAATTGAAATTATCTTAGTTGGATCTGTTTCACTTAACCCCAATTTTCCCTTAGTCTCGAAACTATCTAATTTTTGTTTTACTTAATAAATTATTTGAAAATTTGATTCGATTTGACGAGATGATCTCTATATGACGAACATATCATTGGCTATGGATAAACTCCAATGAAGCCTGTTTATGTCATAGTTACACTGATGGAGAATCATTCATCCTTTTGTTTCACAAATTCCCACTTCCTTGGCTGCATATTTTTTTTCCCAGTTTTGCAGTTTCTTCTCTAAACTATCTAATTTTTGTTTTACTTAATAAATTATTTGAAAATTTGATTTGATTTGACGAGATGATCTCTATATGATGAACATATCATTGGCTATGGATAAACTCCAATGAAGCCTGTTTATGTCATAGTTACACTGATGGAGAATCATTCATCCTTTTGGCTGCATATTTTTTCCCAGTTTTGCAGTTTCTTCTCTAAACTATCTAATTTTTGTTTTACTTAATAAATCATTTGAAAATTTGATTTGATTTGACGAGATGATCTCTATATGATGAACATATCATTGGCTATGGATAAACTCCAATGAAGCCTGTTTATGTCATAGTTACACTGATGGAGAATCATTCATCCTTTTGTTTCATAAATTCCCACCTCCTTTGGCTGCATATTTTTCCCAGTTTTGCACTTCCTCTCTAAACGATCTACTTTTTTTTAAACATTATAGTTTATATAAAAATTTGTAAATTTGATTTGATGAGCTGATCTCTATATGATGAACACATCATAGGTTATGGATAAACTCCAATGATGCCTGTTTATGTCATAGTTACACTGATGGAGAATCATTCATTCTTTGTTATTTTTCTCTATTTTCATGATTAAATATCGTAACATAGTGAAGCTTCATCTTTGTATAATGAAACTCTTGAATATGATAAAACTCTAATATAGGCAACTTTGCCGAGGTGATCAAACCCATATTGGTTTCCTCTTTTTCCCTGTTGCCAAAACTTAAATGGCTGGAACTAGTTTCACGTTGTTCTGATTTATACATTTCAGTACAATTTTCTAGTGCAGCCAACATATTACAATATTCAAACTATTACATATCAATTGCATGTAGAGAAGTGGGAAAATTAGTTTGATTGAAATTCGTACTCTTACATATGATAAAACTGTAACATAGGCAACTTTGCCGAGGTGATCAGAACCATATCGGTTTCCTCTTTTTCCCTGTTGCCAAAACTTGAAATGGCTGGAACTAGTTTCATGTTCTGATTTATATATTTCAGTACAATTTTCTAGTGCAGCCAACATATTATAATATTCAAACAATTACATATCAATTGCATGTAGAGCAGTGAGAGTTAGTTTGATTGAAATTCATACTCTTACATATGATAAAAATGTAATATAGGCAACTTTGCCGAGGTGATCAGATCCATATTGGTTTCCTCTTTTTCCCTATTGCCAATACTTGAATGGTTGGAACTAGTTTCATGTTGTTTTGATTTATATTAAGTACAATTTTCTAGTGCAGCCAACTTATTATAATATTCAAACAATTACATATCAGTTGCATGTAGAGACGTGCCAGAATTAGTTTGGTTGTAATTCATATTCTTATGACAAAACTGTAATATTGGCAACTTTGCCGAGGTGATGAAGACCATATTGGTTTCCTCTTTTTCCCTGTTGCCAAAACTTGAATGGCTGGAACTAGTTTCACGTTGTTCTGATATATATCAGTTGTATGTAGAGAAGTGAAATTATTTTGATTGAAACTCATAGATAGTAGCAAGTATTAATTTATTTCAAATACTTTTGACAGAACAAGGATGTAACCGATGCAATTCAAAAGGTTGCTGCTGCCTATGACTGTAAAATTGTTGAGGGTGTTCTAAGTCACCAACTGAAGCAGTTTGTGATTGATGGGAACAAGGTTGTGCTTAGTATCTCTAATCCAGACACAAGGGTTGATGACTTCGAGTTTGAGGAAAATGAAGTTTATGCAATTGATATAGTTACAAGCACAGGAGAAGGGAAGGTTGGTTTAATTTTGTTAAATATATTTTTCTGCATGATTTAGAATCATATGAATTATTTATTAAAAGTTTTTTTACCAATCCCTTGTAGCCTAAGTTATTAGATGAGAAGCAAACAACTATTTACAAGAGAGCTGTTGACAAGAGTTATCACTTGAAGATGAAAGCATCCCGATTCATTTTCAGTGAAATAAGCCAAAAATTTCCAATCATGCCATTTTCTGCTAGGTAACTCCACTAATTATGCCAATTTTAATACTGGCATCAAACTCAAGTTCTAAGTTTTATTAACTTTGTTTTTAAAATTACACTTCTTTTATTTATAGGGCTTTGGAAGAAAAAAGAGCTCGACTAGGTTTGGTGGAATGTATGAATCATGAGCTTTTGCAGCCATATCCGGTTCTGCACGAAAAGCAAGGTAAGTTTGCAACATGATCTCATAATCCTCATTGGTGTTAATATTCCCATGAGTCTGAATATTGTTTTTTTCTTACCAGGTGATTTTGTTGCACACACCAAATTCACGGTCTTGTTAATGCCAAATGGATCTGACCGCATCACATCTCATCCTCTCCAAGAATTGCAGCCCACAAAAACCATTGATGATCCTGAGATCAAGGCCTGGCTAGCCTTAGGCACAAAGACAAAGAAGAAGGGTGGTGGAAAGAAGAAAAAAGGTAAGCCCGGAGATCATGTTATGATGCCTTATCATATGCTTTCTATAATGCATTATTTGCATATACCATATGGAACACATTTTTTGCTTAACAAATGATGTTTGGTGTTGTTTGCACAGGTAAGAAAGAGGACAAGGCAGATGAGTCAGCCGAAACTGTGCCACAAGACTCAAATAATGGCGCCACACCTAAGGAATGAGTTAACCCCCTCCCTCCCCCAATCTCAATGAATAGAAATGTTTTTCATTTCAATTTTCTGACACCCTTTCAATTTTGGTACACAGTTCACTAAATTGTATCTGTCTGGATATGAATTTACTAGTGTTTGGCGATCGAATCTAATAGCCGTTTTTGGTGCACTTTTTAGTCTCAAATACCAAACTACAAAACCAAGAAAATGTTTGGAGATTTGGGTTGCAGTTGTATTTTAAAATTTTGAAATATCTGTTCTTAATTTTAAATAGTATTTAAAGTAGAACTTAATTAATAATTCTGGAATGGTGCAACAACACACTATGCAAGTCTACATACTGGTTCTTCAAACTGTTCATAGGTAAATTGTGACCGACATGGATGTTCACTCCACAAAAGTTTCTAAGATGACACGTGAGCCACTGGGTGGATGCAAATCTTTAGTGGTAGTTGAAATTTATAAGCAACATCATCCATGCGCTCCACAACCAGAAATAGGCCATAGTACTTTAGAGATGATTTGTGATGATGTTGACAAACTTTAATTTTTCAATATGGCCTGAAGCTCCTTGAAATCAAGCAATCTCTTTCCCATCTTTATGGTGTGCCTCACACCTTTTGAAAACCCAAAATTGCTCTCAGAATTTTTTGGAGATCCGGAGATGTATGTGCGAATACTTTTGGGATGAATTTGGAGATGTATTTGCGAAAATTCTTTATTTTGAACATGTATTTCCTAAAACTTCTTTACATGCATCTTGAGCAGTAACATTATATATATATATATATATATATATATATATATATATATATATATATATATATATATATATATATATATATATATATATATATATTTAAAGTCATTTTAAATGAAGGGTCGTAATCTATAATTTGATTCAAACATTAATAAACATGAATTTTATAGAATAAGGTAATACATTAATTAAAAAATCATCTAAAATATTACATAGTTCTCAAGCACGGAAAATAATACTAAAACATCCAAAAATACAAAAAAAAAAACACAACATAATGCGTATGTCTAATCCTAATCCCTCTTCCTCTACTGTTGGTAAATGAAAGCATTTTGTGCTAGGACAACCACATCATCGCTACTTCTCTCAAACAACTGAGACTCGATGCCTCACATATAATTCAAATAATATTTTGATAGATCGGCAACACATCAATGATATGGTCATTTCTGACCTGCTCATTCTCCAGGATCTCCTCATGAACAGACCTAAATGGACGTTCATGAAAGTCTGGTGTCATGACATGGTGTGACACAGTATAGTACTAAGTCATGTAATCATCCACATAATGCTACATTGCCACTGACTTGTGACTGGCATACTCCAATACTTCTCTGATACCAGATGACTCATAATCCTCCAGTATGCCATCAAGATGTCTGCAGACGATACTGTTAGGAGCAACCTCGATGGGGGGATCTCAAAATGATCTCTAAAAATCCAAATTGACGCATGCATTGGGTCAGCTCCCGAATAAATGACCATCATCTCACGGGCCTCATCACGTTAGATCATGGAATGATCAAGTAACTTCCCCTTTAATGGGAAGGTGTACAAAGCAAGCGACATCATTTAGTGTAATCATCATCTCGCCAATGGAGAAGTGGAAATATGACGTTTTTTATGCCATCTCTTAGTAAAAGCCTCATGCATGCCATGGCTGATGGTCTTGTATCTGGAAGAACACATATTGACAAAATCAAGTATCTGATGACACTTTGGAATCAATCATCCTTAGGATGATAAAGCTTGTGAATCTTTCTATTATGGTTAACAAATTTCAAACAAGCGTGCTCTTGTTAAAAATAAAATATAACAGTATTAGTAGCAGGGAATTTACGTAAAACATAAACATAACAACCATTAACAAATATACCTCTCTGGTCCAGACATGCAGAGAAACATGATATCTATAGTATTTCAGTAATGAGGTGTCAGAAGGTCCTCTTGAATAAGAGTCTGAAAGTGGAGGGACACTATTATGTGCAACAAGAGCTTCCTCCTGGTCCACGTGAGCAGGGAAATGTCCATGGAATGAGGACCCATGTGACAGACGACTCCTAGAACTCGACGCTTTCCCTTCATGAGGCCTAGGGACGGTTCCACGCCTAGCTTTGACTTACTCATTATGAAATCTAGCCCTCTCGCAATGAACCGCCGCATGCTGGATTTCACGACCGAGTTTCATTATGTCTTCGTTGTTGTAGCTATTTTCCTGGAAAAAAATGAGATAAAGACATCAGTTTGCAATCCAGGTCATTTTCAAATATGCATCTCAGAAAACCAGAAAGGACGCAATTTGAAGATGCTTCTCCGAAGAAACTCGTGTTTGTATAATGGCAAAAACAAATACCACTCACTCTTGCCCTAACAATCCAAAATGCAACTAATTATAGTGCATATTTGTAACAACTACCTATTTCGAATTCTAATACTACCTAATGCATTAAAAATAAATCTTTTACCTAATGTATAAATCAAAAGTAAAAAAAAGTTAAATGAGAAACTTACTCCAAAAAGTGTCGATGAGGATGAAAAATATTGAATGTAGTATGTGGAGTCAGTTGGGATTGGAAAGATTGAAGTAGAGGTACTTATGTTGTTTGAAAAATCGACTGAAACAATGTTGCTCACGAGCTCCAATGAGAACGAAAGTTTTAGAAAATAAAGAATGAGGAGAGAGAGGGTCTGGCATGTATTATATATACATTAAACACGTTCGGAGATGCATCTTCGAAAACTTCTCTTAATTTGAAAACAAGAGTTAATTTGGAGATGCATCTACAAACAAACCCTAAAACACATACATAGATGTATCTCCAAATTAAATTTTGTCAAAGTGAGAGGAGCTTAACAATTTATGCTATTTTGTGTGAAAATGATGCGTCTGGAGATACATCTCCAAAAACATGACACATTTTTGACTTTTTCTCCGAGAGTCAGAAAGAAGTTATAAATCACAAAAGAAATTGCCTAAAACCAAATCACCCACTGCAAAAAAAGGCCACAACAATGAACATTCACCTTTTGAGTCATGCGATGTTGGGCAACCAACAAGTTATTTTTTGAGAGTTTGGAACAATGCATCTCATGTAATAAAGGCATCATCAAACATTTCAATTGAAGTTAAACCTCGTTGTAATGAAAACAAATATGACAAAGCTTCTAGAAACCAATGAGTCACCAATTAAACAGCTGGACCCACATGCAGTAAATGGAGGGAATCATTATGTTACTAACAAATCGGAAGTTGCGGAGACACGTAGAAGTGAGAGAGTACGCAAGGAAAGCATCAGGCAACATGAGATCTATTTAATGCTTGTAATGAAAATATTGTGAGGCATGTGAGCATTGTGATCATTCTGCTATTTCTCTCTCCCTAACTCTTGTATGAACTTTGGTTAAGTTGTTAAACAAATACACAATTCCCTTCTTTCTTCCATCATTTTACTTCACTGTTTCACTCGTGCATACATAAGAATAGTGGGTGACTTACAGACTATAAGAACTTCAAACAGGGAAATTTTAAAGCCACTGTGATAACTTGTGTTATAATGAGATTCTTCCCATGAACGATGGCACAATGTGGTTAGAAGGAATAAAATACTGTCAACAATCTTGAAGGGACCCTAAAACTTAGGAGAAAGTTTGTTAATGCTTTGCTGGCTCACAGATACTTGACAATGAGGTTGCAACTTCAAACAAACCCAATCCCCTAGTGTAAAGGAGCGATAACTCCGATGCTTGTTTTCCTATTGAGCCGTTCAATATTGTGCATGCAAAAGGTGAAACTGAACCAATTTGATGACAAATTAATGGGCTTCAAGTGATCGAGCAACTATAACATTAGTTTTTTTACTTGCATGTAAGGCAAATGGATAGGAGGTGATTGGCCATAAACCACCTCATATCGCCTAGTGTGAATCGGGGAATGAAAGTTTGTATTATATCACCATTCAACTAAGGGTAACCATTGAATCCAAGTAACTGGTTTTCGAAGCCCATACAATGGAGTTATGTTTTCAAATATTTGTTCACCACCTCTGTTTGAATCCAAAAGTAATCGGTCTCTCGAAGCCCATACAACGAGTTATGTCTTCAAATATTTGTTCACCACCTCTGTTTGCCCCTCTATCACTCATAATCATACTAGGCATACCATGTAATTTATACACATTGTCAAAAATAGTTGAGCGACATCTAGGGTTGTGTATAGATGGGATAAACACCACCACTAGTATGACATATTTACCTCCAGATTGTGTGTAATCTTTCAACTAAATCCAAACTAATGTCCTCCCAAATACAATGTAGAATAGGTAACTGATAGAGACACTTTGACATGGGCTGCTCGCCGGCTAAGACAGTATATGTTGACTCATATCACTCTGTTGATCTCTAAGATGGACTCAATCAAGTACATCTTCGAGAAACCTGCCCTCTCTGGATGGATAGCAAGATGGCAAATGATCTCGACTGAGTACGACATTCAATACACAATACAAAAGGCCATCAAAGGAAGCGTACTGGCAAATCATTTGGCCCATCAAGCTGTGGATGATTATCAGTCTATGAACTTTGACTTCCCCGATGTGAACATCATGCTGGTGACCGACTGTGCGAAACCTGAACCGTATGACGAACCTGAACAAGGATCCCAATGGACTATGGTCTTTGACGGGGCTTCCAACGCCTTGGGTATCAAAATTGGTGATGTGATCATATCTCCTGAAGGTTGCCACACTCATTTCACTGTCAGACTATGCTTCGATTGCACGAAGAATATAGCTGAGTACAAAGCGTGCATCTTGGGTCTGAAAGCAACCATTGACTTGAGGATCAAGCATTTAAATGTGTTTGGGGATTCCGTTCTAGTGATTAGCCAAGTAAAAGGAGATTGGGACACTAAGCACCATAATCTCATCCAATACAAGGAACTTGTGCTATCCTTGATTCCCTACTTCGAAGA